CTTAATTTTAGACTAAAGATTTGTAACCAAAAGCATTATCTCGCTCAATTGCTTGTCCAAGCTTCATCCAAACCCATCTCAATTGCTGGAACACCTATCAAGGTTGCACATGAGAGGTAAGCCTCTCATTCCACTGTTTAACTTAGATTTGTAATATATGTTTTTCAATTTAGTTCTAATTTACTTGAACTCCTAAAACCATGGGGAACTTGCATTATCATTTTCCTCCAGGCTGAGAAAAAGAGAAAAAGAGGTGAGGGTCTTAGGGAAATTAGTACTAAAGACCTAATAACATCATCTAAAATCAATTTCAATAGAAGCTATGAGCATTTTCACTAGATTTCAAGAATTCTTAGCAATCGCTTTTACTAATTATTTGTTATAATTTGAGTCTAAACCATTCCCATTTTGGGCTACTATAGAAGCTTAGAGAAAGGGGTTTCTAACACCTTCCCTTTCCTAATCCTTGGAACCCAAAAGCTTTCAGTTAAGTGATTTTCCTAGTATATAACGAAGCTACTATGAAAGTAATAAAGTCAAAGAAAATGAGGGCCCAAATTTGGACCAACCCGGCACAACATAACACGACGACACATAGGCCGTGCCAGGCTCGGCACGATGGTCCGGGCCGTGTTGGTCCTGGGGTTCCAGGTCCATGGGCCGGCACAACCTCCAGACCCGTAGCTATATAGGGTTTTTTTAGGGTAAATCTCTTAAACTACCCCTACTGTTTGGGAAATTGATTAACTTTACCCTTACTGTTTACATATTGTCTTAAAGTACCCTTAAGTTTTTTAACAATTGACACGCCGGTAAACACTAAAGACAAAATGAAATATCAAATTTGCCCTTCACTATTCAACAAAATTTCAAAATAAAACCCAACTGACTATATAGATCGGTTCATTTATCCAAGAATCCGAAAGATTCTCGAATCTAACCCTAACTGGAGAAAGGAACTTGTAAATTGTCTAGCCATCTCATAGAAACCAACAACAGTAATATATTACTGCAACTAACCCATATTAGAATTCTTCAAGGAATCAAAAAGCTTCAACGAATAAATCTCTCTCCGTCTCTCTGCTATTTATCGAGCTTGAATGGATAAAATCTCGCGCATCGCCGGTTAAGACCCACAAGGTGAGTTCAAAATTTGAACAAATACAAGCTCTCTGTTTTTAGTGGTTAAGTTCTTTGGAGGAATTTTTTGAGTTGTTCTTGCATTTTTGGCTATGGTGCACTGGAAATCAGAATCTGAGGTTCGTTTTTTTTTTTTTATGTTTAATCGCATGATAGTTCTGTGAAATCTGAACTTCAAAATTTCTGAGTTGTTCCGAGGTAAATTAGATAGTTCTGTGGAATCTAATTTTTGTTTAGTTATAGTCCTAGTAAACGACTGAGAGTGTGTGAGTAAGAGGGAGCCCTTCATGATTGAAAATCCTATGTAATTTATACTATGAAACCCAAACTCTCTCTGCGGAATCCTACAACCTGAATACATAACACCCTTAATTGGCTTTTTCCCCTCTCTACATTCGAGAGACTCAATGTTCTCGCACTCCATGACTCGACTTTAATGTTTTTTCTATATTATATTTTTTTCTCTTATTTCTGCAATTTGCGTTTTCGAAACAAATCACAATTGGGAGGCAAGGTTTCAGAATTGACTGCAGTAAGGCAGGTTTTGGGGTATCTCTCTCAAGAATTCCAAACTGTTGGTACCTTCGGGTTTGTTCAAATTTTGAACTCACCTTATGCATCTTAGCCGGCGATGCCCGAGCTTTTATCCATTCGAGCTCGATAAATAGCAAAAATCCAGAGCTTAGATTTTTCTCAACTTCTTCAGATGATTTGGATTCTGAGAAATCCAATTTCCCCAGTCAAAACCCGGAATTCAAACATCAAGAGATTGAGGTACCTACGGTCGAACGCAATGTCTCTGCTTTGGCCAATCCCCGTAGAACTCATAAAACCTTAATTTTTTGACATTTCATTTGAGACCTACTAAGAGAGGGGAGAGAACACAAAAGTTCCTAATCGAATCAGCTACCTTGGGAAGCTCAACCTCCCACCTAACTTTTGCCATTCAGAAGTTGTAGTGGCCGTCGTTGCTGTGACAATGATATCAAAATCATCCCACCGCTACAACTTCCAACAGTGGTGGTGAACAATAAGGGTATTTTAGAAATTTTAAAATAAGTACCATTATCATGATGTCACATGTGAACGGAGTGTGACAGAAAATTAACGGCAATGAAAGTTTTAGACAATTGTTAGAAAACTTAAGGGCACTTTAAGACTATATGTAAACAATAAGGGTAGAGTTCGTCAATTTTGCCATTTACCCTTTTTTATAGAAGTACCCCCAATAACTATAAACAACTATATAGGGAGTATTTCTGTATTTTGGTTTTGGGGGGAGAAAGAATGACACAAATGCCCCTAATAGCTATATAACAACTAGTTTGGAGGGGCTTTTTGGGTAAAGTGATAAATAACTTTATAATAACCAAAATACCCCTCTCAACAACTAAAAAACAGCTAGTTTTTAGGATATTTTGGGTAATCGAATTATTTTCAATTCTTATAAATAGCTCTATCCTCCACCATTTTCAATTCCTACAATGATCAAAGTCAAGAACAATAGGAGAAAATGATGAAGTCAATATTTTTTATATACTCAATAGTTGTATACCATTTTTTCAAATTATTGTAAATTTTGTTTTAATTTATTTGATATTTTTTAATAACATATTTTTTTATTTTCAATTTGTAACTATATTGTATTTTTTATATTTTATTAAATTTTTCCATTTTCCAAATTTCATATTTCATTCATCCAACCATTGTATGCTTTGTATCATTCAAATTTGAATGAAATAAAATTTCTATTTTTCTTCCAATTTGTTATTCACTTTGAGTCTTTGTCTCTTTGACTTCTTATTTGGTTAAGTATTTTTTTTTCATTTCTTTGTTATATTTCTTATTTTTTCAAATAGTTCCCAAAGGAAAGTTAAATATTTTAGTTTTACTTAGAAAAGAAATAAAAAATAAATAAAAAATGTCAAAAAAACAAAATAAAAAAACAATCTGGCTCGGTTTGGCCCACGCCTATGTCCCGGCCTGTGGCCCAGGCCCACGGCACAACCTGCAGCCTACCCGACCCAGGCCCACGATATGGCACGGGTCCACACGGACTTGGGCTTCGGCTGTTTTGGGCCAACCCCCCAAATTATCCATGGGGAGGGCAGCACGACCCAAGACGGTCCGCACTTTATGTAGGTCACAAGTGGGTCGTATCGTGCCAGCCCGACCCAACCCATTTTATAGCTCTACATTTCATCTGAAAAATATCTGGCAACTCCATTTCTTTGAGCCTGTTCATGGGCCGGGTAGCCCGACGGGCCGGCCTGGCCCGGCTCGGCCCCCGGATGGGCTTGAGCATGCATTTTAGCCCGCAGGCTTAACCTCGAGCCTAAAAGCCCAAGCCCGACTATTTTATGAGTTGGGCTCGTGATTTGTTAAAAAAGCTCGGCCCGACCCAACTTTTGTATAAGTTAAACCCTAAATATCCTAACATGCTAACCCCTCTCTTTTCATTCATCTCTTTCTCTTAGCCGAACGAACTCACTTCTCACAATCATAGCCTCACATAACCAAAAACTCTTAGGAAGATAGAACCGACGAACACTCTCACCGACACAATCAGTGAACTACGGCGGTGACTGGTGAGTCCTCTCTCTCTCGTTCCTCTTCTCACTTCTCCTTCTCTTTCAGAATCTCAGTAGCTCATTTATCATACGCAAGTCATGCGAACTCAGGCACCAATGAACACAGGCACCAGCAGTGAGTCCTCTCTCTCTCTCTCTCTCTCTCTCTCTCTCTCTCTTCATTGTTCGGTTGTTCCTCTTCTCACTCTCAGAATCTCAGCTCAGCTCATTTATCAAACGCAAACTTAGGCACCGACAGTGAGTCCTTTCTCTTTGCCCTTTTGTTCTATTCCTCTCTTATTGTTTGCCAGGCGGCAAACACAGACACAAACACAAGCACCGGTGACGAACATAGACATAGGCACCGACCTATCTTTTTGTTAGGTCAGTCTTCAAGCTCGGGCCCGGGCTTCAAGCTTTTTATTAGGGTCAGTATCAGGTCCAAGTTGTAGGGCTCGTTGATCGAACCGGGCTCGAGCTCGAGCCTAACCAAATCCTATTTATGAAGAGTAAAAAACTGGCCCAAACCCGGCCCAACCCATAAATAAGTTTAGTCATAAGCTTCCTTCCTGGAGCTCACATACAGTGAAAGAATATAACTTAGAATTTGTTAACGGTATGTATCTTCTTGGGTAAGATTTGCTAGAGAGTTGTAGGACTAATGATATTAATATCTTTCCTATTTATGCCTTCATTAAGCTATAAATTAAATAATAAAAATATGAAGCTCGTTATGACTTTTCATGCAAAAAAAAAAAAAACAACAAATCTTTAAAATAACGAAGTCTCTTCTTGGGAATGGAATATAGTTTGAGATAATTTGAGGAATCGATGCTATTATTAGTCATAAAAATCTATTATTAAAAGGAATATGTTTGTCCCGTTCAAGTATTACAACTTTCCCCCTAGTGGGTAAATTATTTATCCAATTAGAAGATGATACCCGGATAAATGATACTAGGAAAATAAACTTTTCCAAGTCCCATATAAATCTGAAAAATGAACATGAAATTCTTGATCAATGGGATCTAGACCTGTTCATGGGCTTGAACATCCCATGAACAGGTCTAATAGGAAACAAAATCTCATTCACCAACTTTTCTCCTCTTAAAATCCAGAAAAAGAACGCCCCTAAAAGTTTTCTTCTTTTTTTTTTTTTTTTTTATTCATAACGCCCCTAAAAGTTAATTTGCATCAAAGAACCATGTAGGTAAGTGCGTGATTCGGGTCATTGTAAGAGATGAATATGAGAGAATTGTTTGAATTAACTGTCGAAACGTTGGTGAGTATTCATCTAATGAGGCCGAAAACCTGAACTACTCTCAAAGCTCATGTTATATCTGCCAAATTCCCTCAATCGAAGATTATTATCGAAGGTGACTCAAGCATCGTTGTCAACTGTCTTCGGACCACCTAGATCAGATTTATGAGTGTCGGGAGATTCGCACTCGCAGGAATCACAACCTTAAATTGACTTGAGATTCGCAGGAATCACAACCTTAAATTGACTTGAGATTCGCAGGAATCAAATTTTGCAACAGATGGATTGTCAGTGTCTCAGATTTTAAGTTAGTTAGATTTGGCGTCATGATTCTTTCTGGTTGTTGTTTGTTTGCAGTAGTTAGTTCCGGACCTATGAAGAAAAAAATAGAGTACGAGAAATTAAAAGGAAAAAAGATTCGGAATCGACGGCTACAAATGGATTGCTTATGGCTTCAGTTTGAATTCTCGATGTGAAAAGCGAAATCTTTCCCACTTTTAATTTATTCCCGAAATTACCCCTTCATGTATTCACGAAACTCAACTGCTATAGTGCTATCATCCTTTGTTTCTTTTGGGTTGACTGCTTCTCATCCTCAGCCAGTCAGCCTTCTTCCTTCCACGCAAAGGTGGGGTGAACTGTGAACGGGGCCAAATGGCCAATCACCGACTTATGGTATTTCAAAGCCATTATCAAGAAGGGATTGGAGTGAACTTACAAATCTATTTGCCTAAATCGACTCGACGGGTACGCTTCTTGTTTGATTTCTTCCGTTATTTGTTTCTTTTTTCTTTTCAATTTAATTCATAGAGTTTTGCTCTTAGTTCTTTGTATATTGCCTTCTCGATTTGTTTTACGTTCTGGGTATCGTAAAAATCTTGAATTTTCTTCCCTTCAATTCTCGATAGTTAGCTGTTCAAAGGTAATCTAAGATAATGGAGGAGGCAGAGGGTAGTAAGAGGCAGAAGCTATCTGTCACACGAGGAGATGGATCTCAAATCCTAGTAAGAGAAACCCGTGATTTGCTTAGCGGTTTACATGACGATCTGCTTCACCATATCATGTCTTTCATGTCAATGGAAGAGATTATTCGGACCGGCTTCTTGTCAAGACGATGGAGATACTTGTGGAGAAATATCCCTTTTCTGGACTTTGCATTAAGGCCATCGAATGAAGAGGATAGACACACAGGAGAGCGTAGGGTTTCTTTTGTTGAAACTTTACTTTTCCGTCACAAAGGTTCCAGGGTTAAAAAATTGTGCATTAACGTAGATACTTACTACATCAACAAATATCAAGTTGATTCATGGATTGATTATGCATTAGATGGTGATGTGGAGGAACTCGATCTAGATTTTTCTGCTGAAGATTTTCCAGGAAGTTATTTACCTGGAGATGAATTATTATATGATTTACCTCCTGCTATTTATAGATGTGAAACATTGCAAAGCTTAAAATTATGTTGCTGTGATCTCAATCTTCCTACTTCCATACATTTAAGATCACTCAAAACCTTGTGTCTTACCGCTGTTGATTTACCTACAAATGCAATTAGTGCTCTGACTTCTAATTGTCCAGTACTTGAAGAGTTGTCATTGAAGCATTGTAATATTTATCTGAACCTCAACATCTCTATTCCAACTAAGCATCTCAACATCTTGCGCATTATTGATCAAGTTGATGAATTTTTTGATGACACTGAAATGGTGATTGATGTTCCTAATCTGCTTTCTCTGGAATGGAAAGGATGCCTCTTAAGAGATAAATATCATATTAAGCGATTGTCGTCTCTCTTGAAAGCTAGATTTGATCTTGAAGATGCTTTGCCTGATAAACTGGAATTGTTTCTTCATAGTCTTCATCATGTTCAAGATCTTACAATTGACTGTGTATTTATTCAGGTATGCAAACTTGTTTTATGTTTTGTGGAATATTTCAATTCAAACTGGAAAAAATGTTAGTTTTGTTGAAATAGTTTGTGTCTGGACAAATTTGAGTCGTTGAGAATAAAATTTACTTTTAAGTAGTGGTAAGAAATAATTAACAAATTAACCTTGTTTCCCCTTATTTTGTTGTATAGATGTTGTCTACATGGGAGGTGCAAAACAAAGATCCCCTTCGTCTTAATGTCAAATGTCTCGAACTGAAGACGGGATTAACAAAATGGGAGCTCCCCGGAATTCTCTATTTGTTAAGGAGCTCTCCTGAGCTAGAGACTCTTGTTATAAATATTACCTCGTCTCCAAATATTGATGTATAATAACTTTTTTTTTCTTTGGTTTTCCCTTTTTTTTTTAACTTTATCTTAACAAAATTTTTACCTAAAATTTCAGATTGATGATGAAATTGAGAATCAATATGATTTCAGTGAAAGAGAGTATTGGAGATCTCAAGAACATTGTTTTTCTTCTCTCATGCGGAATGTCAGGACTATTAAGATATACAACTTTTTCAAGGGATGGTGCATATACCAAGAGGAGGAAGATGATTGTAGTGCTGTCAAAGAACTATTTAAGAGTCATGAACATGAAATTGAGCTCATTAGGGTTTTGCTACAATATTCTGATGTCCTCGAGAGGATGATTATTAGCAAAGATTGCAATGGTTGTGTTGGTGAGAATAGATCCCAGATACCTTTTATGGTTACTGTGAAGGTTATAAATTTCCCTAGAACCTCTCCAAATGCTGATATCATTTTCTCAAACTTTTAGAATTTAGACTCCTTGGCTCTGGTTGTAGTCCTTGTTGTTGTTCATTTATCAACAATACTTTCACCAATCAGGATGTGTACTTTTTCCACATATGGAGATGGATTTTTCTTCTGTTCATTTGTGCCACCACTGCTGATTACCACTTCTGGTTTTGATAGGACTCCTAAGCAATCAGCGATGCATGCAGTTGTTTTGATTATATCAACTGGACTAATAGTTGCTCTTGTTGGTTGTTTTCTCATTAATTAAACCACAAGTACTTTGAACTGGGTAATTGGAATTTATCGATCTGCTTTTCCTTTGCTTCAAAAGATGGCATGGTGCTCATTTGTGGTCCATCAAATAGCTGGCTTCAGATCGAGTCATCCGACATATGCCAGTTACTACACTACACATGAAAACGAAATAGTTGGATCCTTCTGTTTGAAGAGACACTGAGATGACATTCTCATTTTCTGGTTTGGTTCATCTAAACCTTCCTCTGATTAGGCCTTGCTGAAGACCTGAAATGACATTGCTAGAATTTATTTTGTTCAGTACAAATAAGAATTTCTTCAAGCATCTCAGCTAGGAACTGCATTTCAATGGGGTGTCCAGTGCAGTTCTACAATAAATTCTGAGAAGTTATGTGTGGATATCATGAAAGTCATGGAAAGTGTCTATACAAGGTCTATTTTGAAAGAAGTGCTAATTCCAATTCGTTGTACTAATCAACTCTTCGGATCGTGTTTGTGAAGGCAAGTGGCTTCAGGCACTTCTTGATTGTTAATGGAATGATTGGGTTCAAGAAACAGAAGTGGCATCACAAAGATCCTATGCAAGATTGACATGGAAAATGCACTACTAGAATATATACATTTAGAGGCTCCTGCCCAGAGGCGGTCCAAAATAAATGCCTTTAATAACATATTAAAGAAGGCAACTTCATCTATTTGTTATAGAGGCATTTTTTGATGCCTCAATCGTTAGATTTTTACCTCTCATATTTGGCGGACAAAAATGGAAGAGTTGTTGTTTTGTTTGAAGGTTTGGAACCCCAAAAAAAGTCAGGAACGAAAGTCTTCTTTGAGTGACTCTTTTCTTCCTCTCTCAAAGCAAACATCCTGCCCTCTCCCCTTTCTTCCTCCTCCCTTCTCTGGCTGATTAGTCCACAAACCGATTGGGGATTGACAATCAATTGTTGAAGGCAAGAGCTTTGGACTGAAATCTAGGTTTTCTTCCCTAAGCAAACTATCTCTCCGATGTCTTTCTCTTTGATGTTTTTCTCTCTAGCGACCATCTCTCTCCGGCAGCTTTCTCTCTGACATTTTTCTCTCCTGTGGCTTTCTCTTTCCAACGGCTATCTATCTTCTGCGAATTGTGATCAATCATCCAAAGACACAAAATCATTGGAATAGGTAATATACAACTTATTGTTTTCTTACGGATTAGATATGTTAACGAGTTAATTTTTCATCCATTGCATATATTCATTGATTAGTTAGTAATCTTTTTTTAATGTAGATTGTTGTTTGTGCAAACCAATTGGATTCCATTTCTTTTTGTGGTGTTTGATGGTATTCAAGTCTGATCTAAAATTGATCTAAACAAGTGATATGCATTTGACTTCTGATTTCAAAAAGATCTAATGGTGAAGACATGGTTTCTTTGTGGTGTTGAACTCTCTGACTGCCCTTACATGGTTCCATTGTATTGTAAGGAGAAATATAATTTCTATTCAAAATGCTCAAGTTATTTTATAAGTTGAAAGCTTTGTTTAGTCCAACATCAGGGGAACTGTATTCCCAATATGTGACATTGTGACTAGAAATTCTTTGATGTGTGCTGGTTTATAATCAACTTTTATAGTGACCAAAATAAGGTATTGTGCTCTTTTGATATCTGTAAAGGAATGATAGAGCTTATTATAGGTGCAGGGCTCAAGTGCCTTTCTTTTTTTGTTCTTAAATTTGCTTTCCAATTCCTTTTTTTTTATTTATTTTATACTAGAAGAGACCTATTCAATGCAGATATTAGTGAGTGGACAGGATAATATATTTCAGATGATTTGATTTTTTTTTTTTTAAGTTTGCACTTCACTTAATTTCTTTTTAGGAATTTTGATTCAATAATAGAACATATTGTTTACCTCCTTTTTCTTGATTCAATAAAGAGGTGCTTGTTCAAAGGTTAGGTTCATATCTAGTCCACACCTCCCAAGACCCCAGATAGATGGGAGCATCATTGGGTAATGGCCTTTTTTAATTCTTCTCTTCCATCTTTAAGATTGACATGGGAAATCAACAAAAGGAATTGCTATTATGATTCTTGCCTACATGTGCTGTAGAGTCGGTGATACAAAGGGTAGAGATTATATGGATTATTTGGTGCTAATATCATCCCTTCAGTCTTGTAGTCGTCAAGCCTTAGCATAAACAAGGAATTTGAAGTGCTTTCATCATTTAGCTTGGAGCCTTGGAGTGCCAAAACAAAGCCAACAGTTAGGAACTAGGTAACAAGGCCTTTAATTCAGAGGCAAGTCACATGATCTCTTTCAAAGTTTCCCATTGATTGTCATACCCTTGAAACAGGAAAAGTATCTGTTCCCTTTAAACTGTTGTATAAGCCTTCTCCTGAAGGTGGGATTCCAACAACCCGAGTCTCCATGGAATTTGAACACATCATCCATCCATGCTTCCTTGTTCAGGGCTAATTGATACAATTGAGAGAAAGACTCTTTAACTGATTCCCTTCATGAACTTAGTATAGGACTTCTTAATCCCTCTCTAAAGAGCATAGCCACATGGAGTAGTAATCTCCCCTATGTCCTAGGCTCAATCCCTTAACCCATACTTCAATTTTTTTTTTTTGAAACAAAGATAACTTTTTATTGAAGAAGAAACAAACAGAAGTACATGAGAGGATGTGCTGAAGCCAAGAGAGGCTTGGCAGGATTACAAAGGCAAACAACTGTCCCTTATCTCATTATTACCTCCAAAACTACTCCCCCAGCAGTTCAGTGTTGAATCCTTTTAAGCTTTTAACCCCCAAACCTCCCCTAGATATAGGGCGACAGAGTTTATTCCAGCTGACTGAGTTTTAAACTCCCCTTTCCAACCTTGCCACAAAAGGTTGGAAAGAGAAACATTATATCAGTAGGGAGCAAACCCAAGACAAATTCTGTAGGAGGTTCTCCATTAGCTGTGTTGTTCTTTGGCGGCAAGTTTTGAGGTTCTACACAATTTGTAGACCATGTCTGAATTCCACAGTTTTGGTGTAGAGATCCTTCTTGTGAGAATGGTGTCAAAGAAGTGTGTCTCTTTGGATGAATATGGCTTTGAGGAGGAAGTGGTGTTTTGGGGAAGATGGTTATTTTCTTGGCTCTTTTTGGTTTGTGTTTCATTATTTTCTCCCGAAATATTTAATGGATTTTTTCATCTTTTCTGGTAGTTGGAGTCATGGTGTGGTTGTTATCCATGTATCGAGATGCACAAGTCCTCAATCTTTTATTTACTTGTATCAAGTTATATTTGTTTCCTGTTTGTCACCTTTCCAAATTCCTTATATCTCAAGTTACCAATCAAAAAAATTCCCCCATCTCAAGTTTTCACATCATCTTTAATATGGGTCATTCTTGCTTACTGCAGATTAGTTGGTTGAGTTAATTCAGCATAAACCAAGTTATAATCATTGATATAGGTAATCTGTCAATGATCTGGGTTAACTGTCCCAGACCAAACTGATCTGTCCCTCTTACACAGGGTATGAGTCTACGTTTTTTTTTTTTTTTATTGAAAATTAATATTGTTATGGAGGGTGAGAACCCCTTGAAACTGTTCAAGGGTCTGGGTCTGCATTTTGAATCCCTATTATAGTAGGATTGAGATAGATTCTTATATGTTCTAACCTTATTAAGACCCAAATCAATTATGTGTATTTGTATATATATTTGTGCATGATGAAGATATCTAGAATCTAAATCATATGTGGAGATCTCAGAGTCATATAGATATTTTTAAAATAATGTAGGCTTGGTTCCATCATTTCCTTTTGTTTGGAAAGTTGTAGTCTTAGAGTATATATGCCTTGCTAGTTTAACTACACTCACAAAGCAGAGAAGCTTATAACCTCTGAAAAACAGGCTGAAAGGAAAGTGGCATAATTACATCTTCTTTTCAAAATTTTAACACTCTAATAAAACTCTTTAAATGAATTTGACCCTCTAAGACAGTTAACCCTGTTCTGAAGATGCTAGTAAAATAGAAAATAACTTTCGAAAAGTCATAATTAACCATAAATTGAAACCCCCAAATTACAAAATTGTCCCTGGTGAAGAAATCTATAAACATTCAATTTCTTCTTTCATAGTTTCTTCCCCTTGTTCTATACCTACATAAAAAATAGAGATTTTTATTATAACTAGTTTCATACTGAAATGGCTTGACATATATTCTATAAAACCTATAACAACTAACATGATTAGCAAGGTGTTGATCATAGATTTACATTAAAAGTCCAAAGAGACCAAGATGGACATGACACCTATTTTGAAGTTTCAATGCAACATAGCCAGGACCCTACCTTTCATCAGGTCATTCTCCAACTAAAATGACCAATTAGCAATACAACATCATTTCTTTTCCTTAAAGTAGTACAAACTCAAAAAATCTAATTAAATAGACTCTAAGAAATATCTTAAGTTCTGAACAACATAACTGACATCATTGGAAAAAAAAAACAAAGAGTTTTCATATTGGTTCATATGGGTCATGCTTTTAATATGCTGCAACTGGATTCTTCATTGCTCTTAATCAGCCATCAACTACATACTGATTGATGTCAAATAAATAGTAATATCCTACCGGAGACTATATTTTACCAGCAGCCATCTTGTCACATTGACTGTAATTGTAGGTCTAGCATGACAAGGACCATGAAAGGAGGTTGTAGAAGAGAATAGAGCTCATCTCCCAATAGTTCCCTGCCCAAGTCTCCCCAAAATGGTTATGCTAAATAATACTCATCCATTTCATTGGAACCACCCACCCTGAATGGGCCAAGATTGACAATCATCAAAGTTCATTTTGGTGATCCTTTCACCAAATTTCTCTTAGATACATTATAAATTATTAAATTACGTTTTTATAAGTAGGAATATTGTCCTAAATCTGTATTTGGGGTGCATTGGCACAACCACTTATGTAATGGCATTTTTTTACCAGTCTATAAATAGCTTATTTTTTATCCACAATTAATAAAATTAAAGTTTCCATTCAAAAGAAAACGAGGAAAAAGAAACCAAATTTCAGATGGATTTATTTCTATAGAGGGATATACAGAATGGTTGTATGGTGCTTTAGATAGAAATGGATTCTTTGGCTAGAAATAGGATCATACCTAACATGTTGGATGAATTAAAGTTAAATAGCTTCTAGGACAGCATAGGGTGTTCTGGAATCCTTCTCGTTTTTTCTTTTCTTTTCTTTTCTTTTTTTTTTGTGAACTAGTAAAAGCAGATCCAGTAGATTGAAGACTTGTTTATGTAACATAATTATTGATAGCATAGAAAATTCCTTGTAAGTGGAAGCTTTGATTATTGAAACCTATTTGGTTTTGAATTTTCCAAATAAACTTAAAGTGAAACAGAGATACACTTGTTTATGTAAAGCCTCTTGATGCAAATTACTAAGGAACCAATGATGGAAATCAGCTACAATATCAATATAGATATTATGTAAATACCAAAGTGCTATTACTAATTGACACTGTTGAAAAAGATGTTTCGGAGTTTCCTCATGAGAATGACACACATGGCATTATTTGGAATTTGAAGCCCTCGCTGAATTAACGAACTCCTAGTGGGGAGTTTGACATGCCAAATCAACTGAAGGAAAAAATTTAATTCTATCTAAATAGTGTGCCTTCCAAACCATTTTAAATCTGAAAAAAAATGCCTTACTGCATTGGTGATTCATTACTTAGGTTAAAGTAAGTGGATTATGTTGGATTGCAAACCACGTACATGATATACAAAATAGGTCATTGGTTGACATGGGTTGTCAGTGCCTTAGTGGGTCTTGTAAATCCCCCACCACATGCCTTCAATAAACTATCTTTAGCCATTAAATCTGAAAATATTACATGTAGTTCCTTAATAGGTTTTTATTCTCTAACACCCGAAGCCCCCAACCCGACTCAAAATTGGATTTGGGTCAATTGGGTTTCAGATTGAGTGTACTCAGCACATTGAACATCTGAACTACACTCTCAAACTCAAACCACATTTCAGAGATCACAGTTAGTAAATTGAGTTGAACCTGAAATTTAGGCTAAAAGATAAACATGCTAGCTAATGTACAGTACTAATTAAGATAAATTAGATGGAATTCCAAAAACTAAGGGGAGAAAATAGGAAGAAAAGATATGAGGGAAGCATTAGTAGTAGAATTTAAAATTAAAATTTGGTATAAAAGATTTTCCCCTGCTGAACTGTTGGTTGATGAGTAGGTCACTTATGGATATGTTTCTGACTTAGGTACAATGAGTAACTGTAAAAAACAATGCACTAGGGACCCCAAAAAAAATCCACCATTAAAAAAAAAGAACAGGTTTCATTTCTGAATACATTATGGGCAGACAACCAGCTCCTTAAGAAATGTTTCCCTAGGCCGTGCTTGGGGTGTATCTCCATCCCTTGGTCTTCCTGGGATCTTCTCCCGCAGAAATGGAATTGCACCAGGATTTCTAACAGGCCCTGATTTCAAATCTGACTTGTGATAAGGATTTCTAACAGGCCCTGATTTCTAATTCTGGTTTTGATCAGAATATGGCTTTCTTCTTTCACTTTCTTTACTTTCTTCTCTCCCAATATGTGGATTCCATTTGGTTTGATCATGTCTAATCCTTGCGGTTTGGCTTCATCACTTTGATGCTTAAGATTTTTAGACTGAATTTCTTACGTGTTGGGCTTATTGATATAAACTTGAACCCCACCTTAGCAAATATGAAAAATGCATTGTGCCTTTCAGTTACATGAGCTCTGATGTATGATGAATCCATGGGCTACTGAAGACAATGATTTTTATTACTATCTGAAATAGTGAAATGATAGGGTGGTTCTCATCTCCTGTAAAGAAGATTTATAGGCAATTGAAATCTTTGTTAATACTGTTTCAATAGATCATCCTACAAAATAGGATTTACTAGCTGAAATGACAGGGTTTCCCTTTGGTTTCTGTAATTGGATTTTCTTCTTGCAATAGATTTCATTTCTTTTTATTACAATATCTTAGTCATTTCTTAGTCTAGTTGTCTCTTGATTTACATACTGTTGTAATAACAAGTACCAAGTACTCAAGACAGTACAAGGAGATTGATATATATAGCCTCTATACCTCTGTGAGTTATAGTAGATAATACAAGCATTTGAGAACATTAGCCTCTAAAGGGTGCACCCTTTAGAATATTATCCCCTCACCCCTGATGTTAATGCATTTTATAACTAGTATTTAAGCAGGCTATATTTCTAAGGTTGTGTATTTTGTATTTCTTCAGCTGGGTGAAGGAACATCTCTTGGAGCTGAACTTGTCTCTCTTATGGTTCAAAGTTAGCACATGCTCCAGGCTATAGTTGGTTGCTAGGGGAAGGGGACTGGCCCAGGGGAAGGAACATCACTTGTAGACCTTTGTCTCATTCTCATACAATTAGAGTTCAAGCTGTAAAAAAGAAAAAAAAAAAAAGAACTCAGTCTTGCATGTGGAAAATCACCTTGCTTCAGGTATTGGGGGCTTTAATAGTTTCCCTCCATTGCCTCAAGAATAACCTAGGGGTTTGGGTGCTTATCTTGTGATGGCTCCAGTCTGGCCTACAAGGGGGATTTCTAAAATAAATAGCAGCCTGGGTCTTAAGACCCATAATATCAATCTATGCAGCCTTCACTCAGCATCAAATAAAATAAAATAAAATAAACTCTCTTTGTGCTGTTAAAAGCCAAGCTGCTAAGTTTTCCCTTTCTATGAGGTGAAGTGGTCTCCTGTTAGTCAACTTGATTAGCTCTGGTCTCTGGTTTTCTTGATGAATGAAGGCTATGTTTGGGAGTGCTTAAAAATAAGTTCTTATTTGGACCATTAAGCACTTATTGGTATTTGGGAAATAAGCCCAAAATAAGTGCTTATTTTTTAAGCCCAAAATTCCAGCTTTTGTTAAGTGCTTATACAATAAGCACTTATTCAATTTTTTCTTCCAAAATTATCCCTAGTTGAATTTTAAAATACCACTTATAAAATTATCCCTAGTTGAATTCTATAAAGTACTTTTATAAAAGTACTTTTATGGAAGCATTTTTACAAAAGCACTTTATAAAAGTACTTTTGTGAAAAGCACTTTATGATTTCATTTGTAAAAATGATTTTCATAAAAGTGCTTTCATAAAAGTGTTTTTATAAAAATAATTTAATAAGTGCCTTCAAAGGGTACATTTTGAAAATTTGAAAGAAAATGAAGGACAAAATAGTCACAAATGCTTATTTAAGTGCTTATTAGAGAAAAAGACTGCCAAATGCCCAATATAAAATAAGTGCTTATTTTAAAAAATAAGCACTTGAAAAAATTGGGTATCAAATGCAAATAAGTACTTATTCAAATAAGCACTTGTTTTTAACTTAAGCACTCCTAAACATGGCCGAAGTCCGTCTGATGATATGATAGTTTCATGGAAGAGAATTGATTGGCTATGGTTTGGGTAGAAGTTGTTACCTTGGTTGAACATTGCTTCAAAAGTTGATCATGTGGAGTTACAAATATCTCTCTAGCACTTGTTGGTTCTAGATACCCATTGCATGCCCAAACAAGACGATTTGATGTCCTTTATAAGCAAAAGCACCTGGGATTTTGAGTGCATGTATTACACACCTTTCCCAAAAGGCACAGCATAGACAGACAATAGGGAGCTTGTTTTGATATATTCTTGCTTATGAGAAGGGTAAGGTTCTAATTAAAGACTTACTAAACATAATATGAATTCAGAATGCCATTGTGTGCACAGAAGACCCTTAAGAATAGTTTTGGCCAGATGTCATGTCATTTGGTGTTTGGAAAACTATTTGATTTGAAAGTTGAAACTTTGATTGATCAGAAACTTCTAAGTAAAACAAAGGAAAACAAAGACAAGCATTTTTTTTACAATAAATTGCAAGAAAGCTCCTGTGTCAACTAGTTTAAGTGAATAGGGGGGGG